TGTGAACATGCCTCCACATACAAGGGCCTTCATTCCACTGTGTGTCATCATCATACACACTGCATCACCGTTGTCGCGTCCTGATACTCGGTTCTTTTTTGTTTCTTTTTTTTTTTTTAAACACTCAGTTCCTTAAGAGGCTCGCACCGCGACTGACCACATGCACAAAAGACAAAAAATGTGGTCGCGTATTTCCCCATCTTCTAGCGGAAGATTCATTCTCGTTTTGCACATTTTGGCAGTAGTGGAGCGAGGCCCTTAGTACCGGAGAGGAGCAGCGACGTTGTCTGCTTTCGCCGTTCCATAGATGAAAAGTTGAATGCAAGTAAAAAAAACAGGATGAACAGACGGCAAGAAGAAAAGAGGGCCTTTAAAAAAAGAACAAAAAAAAACAAAGAAGAAAAGATTGCAAGGGGTGCGCCAGGGAGAAATAATGAGAGGGGAAGGCTGGGAAGTAGTCTTACAACGATTAAAGGACTTTCAAAAAAAAAAATAATAACAAGGGAATAGAGACCTCCTCTACACCCGACAGCCGACTTCTGAAGGAGACTGTCAAAAGTCTACTACCGTATTTCACCCCAATTGAACGCTAGGTCATTATCTCTGCCTGCATCTGGACTTGAAGTTGTCCAAAGTACGCAATAATAACCGTGCGTTCTATTCGCGTGAAGACCGCAGTATCCAACCTCTACAACAACCTGGACTTTTTAAAAGAAAAAAAGAAAAAAAAGACAGGGTGATTGGTTTCTTCCTTTAAGGGACTCGTAATGGAAGCCAGGAAGTAGAGCCCTTTTTGCATGAACTTCGTCGTCGAATCGCTGAACGTCACATTCACTTCTTCCTTTAGGGGACTCGTAATGCAAGCCAGGAAGTAGAGCCCTTTTTGCATGAACTTGGTCGTCGAATCGCTGAATGCACAGTAACACATGTTCATATCTTTTTTTTACCGGTCCCATTTCTTACCAAGGGGCAAAAAGGACACGAACGTAGCCAATCTACATAATATTCTAAAGAACCAACCGGACTACAAGTCTTTATTGGCCATATACACAGAGAAGGGCACATTTTCTACTGAGCTCTGGACGTAATCGCGGCCAGATGCACAAACTCAAGGTCGTATCGGCAGTCAGATTCATCGAGAAAAGTCATAAGCGTGAATTCGCCCTAAGCACCGTTGGATCGTACATGTCCATCGTGTACTGCATGTAAGCTTTCCCTTTCCTTCCCACCAGTTCGTCCTGGGCTGGGTGACGAGGTCAAAATTTTACAAGGAAGTAGGTAATGAAGACTGAAAAAGCGATTGTTTACCTAAACCATCTCACATTGTTGATACGGCTAGGCTTCTGAACCATACGTGAGTTCATATTTGCTCTATTCTTATGGTATAAATTTTTAATTCAAACGTTTTTTGTACCGTAAGACTGCTTCCTCTTCTTACTGCCGCAGTAAATTAGGTCATCATCGACTCTCCAACTCGCTTACAGGTTGGGTGAGGGGGTGGAGACTCCAGTACATTAGGTCACCATAATGAGCTTTCAAGTTGGGTGAGGGGGTGAAGGAGGCACACATTTCGTGATCTTTCACCGTGACGAGAACTCACCGCCGTGACAAAAACTGACAACAGGTAATTCTTGGTGCAATTTCACCGAGACGAAAACTCACCACAGGTAATTCGGTTTATATGGGTGTGGACCGAGACCCCTGCGTTGGCAAGCCTTCGCAACTCACCACGGCGAATTTCGTAAAGAATTTAAGGGGGGGGAGAGGGAAAAAAAGGAGTTACTTCCGGGTCGTTTTTCGTGAGGAATTCCCGGCCTCATATTTTTTCATGATAATGGATTTTCCTTGCTGTGCCCAAAAAAAGAAAAGAAAAAAAAAACGCGAAAAAGAACACCGCATCACTTATCCCGATCTGGACATAGGAGTTCATCCTGGCAGACGGCAAAGGAAAAGAAATGGTAATTTGAACCTGTGACCTTCAACGTAGAAGGTGCCTTGGCAGGAGGGCGAAAAAACCCTAACCTGCAGACTACCTGATTTAAAAAGCCCAGGTCAACCTTCCATAGCACGATGGACCCTACTCAACCATTCGTTACACGTTTTAAGACGACGCCTATAACAAATCACTGTTCACACGTTTTTCGACTATCCAGCTGCTACATAACACGATGGACAACTACTCAACCATTCATCACACGTTTTAAGACGTAATTGCGCCTACCATCCACCTGATATTTTTATGACGGCAAAATAACAAATTATTTTCCAGTGTTTCACGCTTTTTCGACTATCCAGCTGCTTAGCGGTCAACGTCCTGACATAACTTGGTAACGCAGTAAAAAGAGTAAATTGTAATAGACAGCCGTTCTCAGCCGACAGTCGCAGGTCTAGCGCATAGTTTCGGATCAATAATATAAAGTAAAAGAGCTAATTTCATTTCTTGACCTGCTATACCTGTAAAAGGAAAAATAGGACGTTCTTTGTCGATAGTATTTCCTATATTCATATCCCTCCCTTCTATCACTCAGAGAATGGGACCAGGTATTTGGGCGTCATTTCGAAAGAAAAAAGAAACGGTCGGTAAGGGTTCAGGATATAACGTGCCATTTGATCAAAGCACATCTGCTGATTCGATTGGACTCGCGCACCGTTTCTTTTCCCCTCTCGACCATCAGTCCAAATCAGCAAACAGACTGCTACAGCGCATTCTTTTTTCTCAGACGCAACAATCCAAATCAATACCACAGTACAGACTCTCTCTCTCTCTCTCTCTCTCTCTCTCTCTCTCTCTCTCTCTCTCTCCCCCCCCCCCCCTCTATCTCTCTTCCTACTTCCATAGAATGCAGTGCAAAAATGTGTTGATACACATCCCTGATAAAAATCTCTCTCTCTCTCTCTCTCTCTCTCTCTCTCTCTCTCTCTCTCTCTCTCTCTCTTCCT